GCTGAAATTGATGTTTACCAACATAGATCAATGAAATGCCATGGTGCCAAGCCTAGAAATGCTGAAGGGGACAGGTCACTGACTCAGAGCTCGGTGAGCTGGGCGCAAGCAAACAATATCCCCTTTAATTTGGCTAAATGCAAATGTATCCATCTAGAGACAAAGAATGGAGGCCATACTTACAGGAAAGGGACTCTATCCCGGGGAGCAGGGACTCTGAAAAGGATTTGGGGGTCGTGGTGGATAATCAGGTGAATGTGAGCTCCCAGTGTGATTCTGTGGCCACAAGGGCTAATGTGATCCTCTCTTGCATAAACGGGGGAAACTCAAGTAGGAGTAGAGAGAATATTTTGCCTCTGTATTTGGCCCAGGTGCGACCACTAGAGGAATCCTGTGTTCAGTTTTGTTGCCCACAATTCAAGAAGGATGTTGATAAATTGGAGAGGTTCAGAGAAGAGCCCTGAGAATGAGTAGAGCAGTAGAAAACATGCCGTGGAGTGGTAGACTCAAAGGGTATGTCTACATGGGGATAAAACCCTTCTCCTGGCCCGGGTCAGCTGATTCAGGCTCGTGAGGCTCGGGCTCTGGGGCTGAAGAATTACTGTGTAGATGTTTGGGCTGGGACTGGAGCCTGGAGCTCTGGGAGCCTGTGGGAGGGTCCCAGACCTTGGCTCCAGCCCCAGCCCAAACATCTACACAGCAATTCTTCGCCCCGCCCAAGCCCCTTGAGCCTGAGTCAGCTGACCCATGCCAGCCATGGCTCTGTAATCGGGCTTTTATCCCTGTGTAAACATGCCCAAAGAGCTTAGTCTGTTTAGCTGAACACAGAGAAGGTTACTGGTGACTTAAATACAGTCCAAATGTATCTACGTGGGGAACAACCATTTAACACGGGGCTCTGCACTCTAACAGGGAAAGGTCTAACTCATGAGCCAAGGGCTGGAAGTTGAAGCTAGAGAAATGCAGACTGGAAATAAGATGTAAACCTTTAACAGTGAGAGTCATTAACCCTTGGAACACCTGACCAAGGGCCGCGGTGGGTTCTCCATCTCTGACCATTAGCGACTCTAGGAATGATTGGGGGGCAGTTCCCTGGCCTGTGCTCTACAAGAGGTCAGACTGGAGGATCACAGGGTCTATGGGTGGGATCCCCTGGGAAATGGGTGCGGGGCGCCCCCTGCCAAGGGCACTTTGCACAGGGGGATGTGTCAGGGTGGGAAGAACCAGGCATTCAGTCCTGCAGTGCCAAGTCTCCTGCTCAGCCTGCAGGCGAGAGGCACCTTCCCTGAACTGCCTGGTAGATGTGGGGGAGTCTCCAGAAAAAGCTGCAGGGAGTGACCATTAACCATTATGCCTGGCCAGAGAGTGAGGGTTTGCTGCATGGCAGCACCAGCTGCTCCTGGCGAGCCAGGAACGGGATACTTGGGCCCTGGCGGGAACTCACCAGCCCTACAATGGCTTCGCTGGCAGGAGAGGAAGGAGTTAATTCCTTATTGCAAATGACTTTGAAGTAATTAATGGCTCTTCTTAGCCCCCATTTGTCCCCTGGCAGGGCTGCTTTGCCAGAGCCATTGCACTAACAATGGTGAAGTCAGGGAGAGGGATGTTTTACTTAAGGATTAGAGTTAATTAGAATGGAGCTTCCCCGGGCACAGCAGCAGCCTGGGCTTTCCAGTCAGGCCTGGCTCCCTGGGGCACCAGAACTTTGTTGGTGGAGGTATGGAGAGAAAAGGTGGCTTTTCCTGCCATTGTCCAAGGCATTTGGCTGCTCATCTCAGACTCAGCCAGGGAGCTCTTGGGGGCAGGGACTGTCCCTGTTAGCTACGTACAACACTCAGCACCCTGACTGGGGCCTCTAGAGACTGCCACCCCTAGCAAACAATAATGGCCATGCCCACATAGTGCCATGTGCTGGGGGGGTCAGGCATCCAAATCCACCACTGGGAGCAAAGGCCAGTTACCCCAGAACAGCAGCAAAGACAATGGGGCTGGGGAATGAACACCAGCCACCAACAGAGAAGCAGTGACAGCCCTGAGCCCGGCTCCCGCATGGCTCCTCCACAGGCCCTCGCTCCCCTCTGGGCCCATCCTGGGGGCAGGAAGTAGTCCCAGCTGCGTCTGCAAGACGGCATTCCTCTCTCCTGCAGCAGCCCCAGGTTCTGCCCCGGATTCCCTTATGCTGCACCATAGCAGTCAGCGAGGTCACGCAGATACTGCGGCGGGGGCAGGGAAGACCCCGGCATGGCTGTTGGATCCCAGCTGTGCCTGCCAGCCAGGCAGGGAGACGAACCCCACGCTTTGCTGGCAAGCTGAGCCAGGAGACGTGGAAGCCCTGGAGAGCCGATAAGCCAATGCCCTGGTGGCATTTTACAGTCATTCTTCAGAGTACAAATGGTCTGCACTGTTTGTTTATTTAACTAGGGCCTTGAGCTTGCCACAACTGTGCAAATTTCAATGACATTTTTAATGGAAAGTTAGAATTTCATCCCCTGAAAAACAGCTCAGGAGTAAATCTCATTGATTTCAATGCTACACAGGAGAGACCTGTGTTCTAGGCAGGAGATAAGGGCCCTGGGACTGTGGGCTCCTCTCATTCACCCTCGTGTAAATCAGCAGTGATTCCAGTGCAGCCAGTAGTCACACCAGTGTAAGACCAGTTCAAGGGAGAGGAAAATCTGATCTCTGCCAGTCTTGATTGCTGGTCTATGGCTTTTGTTATAGATAGCGCAGCACAGCACAATGTCTATAGCTAAGGATGTCCAACAATTATCATGATCAGGCCTTGTTTTCAGTTGCTTATAGCTCTGCCAAACTTCAACAGTTTGGGCTGAAATTTTCCATCCCAGGATTTTCCCCAGGCTGAATTTTTGAGAATGTTTCAGCTAAAATGGTCCAGTCATTTCCAAAAATGAGATTAGGAAAAAATATGTTGTTTTGTCCATGTTAAAAAATTCTTACAATAGAATCTTACAACTTTACACACAATGTTGCCACACACATTTTACCAGGACAATAATGGTCAGCAAATTATGAGTTTTCAAATGATACCTCACAAGGCATATTTTGTATGAAATTGATCATAGTCTTGTAAAAGGGGGTTGTCATAAATATAAAGGGAAGGGTAAACACCTTTAAAATCCCTCCTGGCCAGAGGAAAAACCCTTTCACCTGTAAAGGGTTAAGAAGCTAGGATAACCTCCAAAATGACCAATGAGGAGACAAGATACTTTCAGAAGCTGGGGGGAGGGAGAAACAAAGCCTCTCTCTCCGTCTGTGTGATGCTTTTGCCGGGGACAGAACAGGAAAGGAGTCTTAGAATTTAGTAAGTAATCTAGCTAGATATACGTTAGATTATGATTTCTTTAAATGGCTAAGAAAATAAGCTGTGCTGAATGGAAAGGATATTCCTGTTTTTGTGTTTTTTTGTAATTTAAGGTTTTGCCTAGAGGGATCTTCTATGTTTTGCATCTAATTACCCTGTAAGGTATTTACCATCCTGATTTTACAGAGGTGATTCTTTTTACTTTTTCTTCTATTAAAATTCTTCTTTCAAGAAACTGAATGCTTTTTCATTGTTCTTAAGATCCAAGGGTTTGGATCTGTGGTCACTTATGCAAATTGGTGAGGATTTTTCTCAAGCCTTCCCCAGGAAAGGGGGTGTAAAGGTAAGGGAGGATTTTGCAGGGAAAGACATTTCCAAACGGGCTCTTTCCTAATAATAATAATACCGGTTAGATGTTTGGTGGTGGCAGCGAAAGTCCAAGGCAAAGGGTAAAATAGTTTGTACCTTGGGGAAGTTTTAACCTAAGCTGGTAAGAATAAGCTTAGGGGGGTTTTCATGCAGGTCCCCACATCTGTACCCTAGCGTTCAGAGTGGGGAAGGAACCTTGACAGGGGTGAACATATGGGTACAGACCGTAACACCTGCCTCTGCCTCTGCTTTCCAAGTGATGCTCCTGTATTTTCTTCTGCCATATCCATCTCTCTTCCTTTTTCCTGGTGCCCTCTATGTTTGGGGCACCCCCCGCCCTTCCCTGGATTTTCAAGCCCCAGCCCTTTCCTCACTCAACCCCCCCGGAAAAGCCACTCGCCTGCAGCCCCCTCTCCCCTTCCCTGCCCCCTGGCACTCGCTCTGCACTGGGCGCTCTTTGGCAAGGGCTTGAGTCTGCAAGTGGCTGCTGCGTAAATAACGCCACCCTATATGCAGGATGCCATCTGCACATATGTGCTGGGGAGAAGGACCCGGGGTGGCAGAGGGGAGGGAATCATTGGGGCTCTCTGGGTGAAGGTACTGACTGTGCTGGCTGTTACTTCTGCTCCAAGGAGTGCCTATAGCCACCACTGTATGAAGCAGCACATTGGTCAGGAAGAACAGCCTTTAGCATCAGAAAAGGGCCTTGGGAGAACTCAGGCACTGGGGCAGGAGCAGCCACTCTGGGACCTTTGCCTTGCAGTTGCCAACACACACTCCTTGCTGTGTGTGGCTCTAAGGAAACTTCTTTCAACCCCCTTTCTCCCTGCAGCACAGCCCCCTGCACCTTTGGTGACTGGCCCTCGCTATCGCTTAGTTATGAGATTTATTGCACAGCCCTCTCCTCTGGCCCAGAGGCCATGCAAGGAGGGCTCCACATTTGCAGATTTCAAAGAACAGATCAATTGTAAAGAGCTGCTTGTCGAATCCTTAATAGCTTTGCAAAGCTGGGCTGGGCTCAGAGGAGTGAGAAATGAGGTGTAATGCTCTGCTTGATCAGACGATATTACAGAGGAGTCAGGTGGCCTCACATAATGCTCCCAAGTGACCTCTATTCTTTATGTCACCCATTGTGACAAACGTGGACTTCTGCTCAGCCAGGATCGGACCAGGTGGCTGTAAGTGCTTTCCAGGATAGGTGGGCCTGGAGCACACCAAGAGCTCAGCTGCTGTTTGTGGGGAGGTGATTTAGCTGTGAAATTTACACGCTAGAACTTGATTAACTCTTCTTGGCATTTCACTAACACAGCATCAGCTGGGCTCCAACAGCAGTTCAGCCTGCTGCCTTCAGATCAAGAAGCCCTTTGAGAGACTAGAAGCATTCCCAGCTCTGCTCTGCAGCACATGATGTAATCCAATCTCCCAATAAGTCAGAAGTTAATTTTCGGTAAGTTTATTGCCATTGGCAGATAAATTAAAATCTTTAATCAGTGAAAACTGCATGAAGAAAGAATTATTTTAACCCAGCCATGAGTGAGTGCTCCTGCTTTGAGCTAAAGCATCCAAATGTGCATTTCCAATAACTATCTTCAAAGGAGAAAATGTTCCCTGCCATGGGATTTTATCCAGTGCGATCACTGCAGTATTTTACAATATCCCTTTGTCAGCACTAAGAAAAAAGTGCTTAGATCCCATTTGCAGATTTATTGCATTTCATAGTGTGGACTAATATATGCTGGCTGGCATATCTATCTATCTATCCCCATCCACCCCATCTATCTATCTATCTATCTCATAATAATAATAGGTATTCCCTGCACCGTATATTCATTAGTACACATTAAGCACAAACAGCATAAGCACACATAGTATGGCAGCTATACAGCCTAATTTGGCCTCTACCTTTGCTGTAATCCTGTTCTCGCATGCTAAGGATCCCATAACACCTTGCATTAGCTGAAGTAAGCATTGGCTTAAGTAGATAGGAGAGTTATCAGGATCAGGACAGATGAGTGTTTTACCATAGCAACAGGTAGGGGACATGGGCAGCGGGCGAACCCTGGCTTTGGGGAGGCAAGGCTGCTGGCCACACCCCGCCCGTTGGCCTCAGCCACATTGGGCAGAGCCGCTGCCACCGGCCCCCCTGCCCCACTGGATACCAGGCCAAGCCACCGCCCCCCCCCACCAGAGTAGGGCCGAGCCGCCAGCCTCCCCCAGCGCCAGGCTGGGCTGCTGGCCCTAGTGCCAGCTCCTCCCACCCCGATGGACCCACCCCCCACTGAGCCGCTGACCCCAGTGCCCGAGGAGGAGGGACATGGTGAGCAGTGAGGACGGGGGTGCGTGGAGTGGAGGAGGCGGTGGGAGTCTTAGGGAAGGGCCGGGACCACTGTGGCCTAGGTGTCCGGCAGCAGGTCGGTGGCAGCACCAGGGAAGGCTTTGCCTATTATACCGGCCACCCATGGGTAGGGAGTTATTCTCACAGGCATGTACTGGAGTGTCCCAAAGAAAGAGGACAAGACATCAGATAGTTCTGCCCACCTACAAACCTAGGAAGTGCCTTCACTGAAGGCACTGGAATGGGTTACCTAGGGAGGTGGTGGAATCTCCTTCCTTTGAGGTTTTTAAGGTCAGGCTTGACAAAGCCCTGGCTGGGATGATTTAGTTGGGGTTGGTCCTGCTTTGAGCAGGGGGTTGGACTAGATGACCTTCTGGGGTCCCTTCCAACCCTAATCTTCTATGATTCTATGATTCACACCCCTCGTTCCCTAGGACACAGGTGTTCAGAACAAAGAGAGAAGGAGGATGCTGTGGTACCAGCAAAGCAAAGCAGAAAGCGGATTGGTTAACTCTAGTTTTACCTGACACGCACTGTGCCTTGCACTGGTAAATAACTAGGTATAAAAATGGCTTTAGGGGTGTAACATTGGGAGCTTCTGGGAGATTCTGGGTAAGGCGGATGTAACACAGGGGCATTGGAACAATTTTTATAGTGGAGGTGCTAAGAGCCATTGAACCAAACTGTAAACCCTTTATATAATGGAAATGCTTCAAGCCAGGGGGTGCAGTAGCCCCCGCAGCACCCCTCATTCCAGCATCAATGATGTAACATGCCGCAGGAGATGGCCTCCCAAGACTGGTACATGTTGAAACTTTTCCTGTCCTATGTCATTCTTACAAGACACCTGACTGACACTGGTTATTTGGTGTGTGGAGTACATTCCCTGATGAGCCCCAGGGTGGCAAGCAATGGACGACACAGTTACCGGCACGTAGGTACACAGATTTTTAATGAAGGAAACACTCCCCTTTTTCTGATACAAAGTGCTCTGGTGAGTGCTGAGCTAATACAAAGGCTGGCTGCTGAGAGCCTGATTTAATTGGCCAGCTCTTTACAGGTCAGGCAGAACAAACGGCTTGCTGTCTCTCTGGTGCAATGACTGGAATCTAGAGCCTGGGCTGCGCTGGGGCTGGAGCTGTGTGGGGAGCCTGGGCAGTATTAAATCAGCGCGTCGCTGCTTGTGAACGCCAGAAAGTCTGCTTCACACCTCGTGGAAGTTGTGTCCTGAATCAGGCTGCTCCAGCTCGGGTTGCTGCACTGGGTGAAACCCACGGCAGGAAGGAATCTGTCCAGTTTGCAACCCCCTGAGAGGTTAGGGCAGCTAAGGTAAGGAGGCTGTTAAAGGAAAGCCAAGGAGGGGAATTTCAGTCTGGAAGAGTAAAACCAATTCCCTGGGAAGGCCCCCTGCAGCCGGAGCTCACCCTGAACCTCAGGGCAAAAGGAGAAGGTTCAGGTGAAAGAGGAAGGGTGAGACTCGAAACCGCCATTCACGCTGAGCTAATCTGTGAGGCAGGAGTGGTCTTTTAGCCCCTGTTTGTACAGCACCGAGCACCAAGGGGTCCTGGACCAGACCTCGGCTCCCAGCCCTACCACAATACAGGTAGGTAACAAGCCCACTGGGCACAGCTACTGACTGAACCCTCTCGGCAACACCCTAGCAACAGGGCCAGGAGATCCCAACTGCAACCCCTGGGCCATAATGCAGCACGACTCTGGATGGGCACATGTTGGTGTAAGGCCAGAGTAACACCCCGGTATAACAGAGAGCAGGATTTGGCCCAGTGTGAGGCACAGGACCATGGCCCACGGGTCAGTGGGTAGCTTGTGTGTATGAAGGGAAGTAGTGAATGTGGGGGTCAGGGCCATGCCAGGCCTCTGCCCACTGTGGATGTCAGAGCTGTGCCTTCTGGCTGCTGCCCGACCTTTCAATGCCAGTGCCTGGAAGCAGGCTAGACTGTTCTGTGGCTCCTGCCTGTCTTCTGTGCCTGCCGTGCTTTGTCACTGAGAGAGGGGCAGGCAGGTGCCCAGGGCTGAACCTCAGACGTGTGCGACTCAACAGCGGGGACTGCTTGGTGCAACTCGAGGGCTGCTAGGTACACACTGCACTGAATGGTTTCAGAGTAACAGCCGTGTTAGTCTGTATTCGCAAAAAGAAAAGGAGGACTTGTGGCACCTTAGAGACTAACCAATTTATCTGAGCATAAGCTTTCGTGAGCTACAGCTCACTTCATCGGATGGATTCAGTGGAAAGTACAGATCTTTTTATACACACAAACCATGAAAAAATGGGTGTTTACCGCTACAAAAGGTTTTCTCTCCCCCCACCCCACTCTCCTGATGGTAATAGCTTATCTAAAGTGATCACTCTCCTTATAATGTGTATGATAATCAAGGTGGGCCATTTCCAGCACAAATCCAGGGTTTAACAAGAACGTCGGGGGGGAGGAAAAAACAAGGGGAAATAGGTTACCTTGCATAATGACTTAGCCACTCCCAGTCTCTATCCAAGCCTAAGTTAATTGTATCCAATTTGCAAATGAATTCCAATTCAACAGTCTCTCGCTGGAGTCTGGTTTTGAAGTTTTTCTATTGTAATATTGCAACTTTCATGTCTGTAATTGCGTGACCAGAGAGATTGAAGTGTTCTCTGACTGGTTTATGAATGTTATAATTCTTGACATCTGATTTGTGTCCATTTACTCTTTTACGTAGAGACTGTCCAGTTTGACCAATGTACATGGCAGAGGGGCATTGCTGGCACATGATGGCATATATCACATTGGTGGATGTGCAGGTGAACGAGCCTCTGATCGTGTGGCTGATGTTATTAGGCCCTTTGATGGTGTCCCCTGAATAGATATGTGGACACAGTTGGCAATGGGCTTTGTTGCAAGGATAGGTTCCTGGGTTAGTGGTTCTGTTGTGTGGTGTGTGGTGGCTGGTGAGTATTTGCTTCAGGTTGGGGGGCTGTCTGTAAGCAAGGGCTGGCCTGTCTCCCAATATCTGTGAGAGTGTTGGGTCATCCTTCAGGATAGGTTGTAGATCCTTAATAATGTGTTGGAGGGGTTTTAGTTGGGGGCTGAAGGTGATGGCTAGTGGCGTTCTGTTATTTTCTTTGTTAGGCCTGTCCTGTAGTAGGTGACTTCTGGGAACTCTTCTGGCTCTATCAATCTGTTTCTTCACTTCTGCAGGTGGGTATTGTAGTTGTAAGAATGCTTGATAGAGAGCCTGAATGCTGCTCTCACTGGCACTGGGATGGCTCCTGGGCTGTCTTCCAGCTTCACCTGCCCTGGAGACACCTATTGCAAAGGAGGCAAACAGGTTCTGATGTACTGCCTGGGCTGGAGCACGCCAGCCTGGAGGGGGCAGGGCAGAGTCATGGACCAACCCCAAAGCGCGGCATATCCTCAGCTGTGCCGCCTGCCAGGCTCTGTAGAGTTTGCTTTCTAAGCAAGCGCAGGAAAGACAGTTTGGACGGGGGGTGGGAGCTGGGGATGCTCGACCTGCAGTGGGATTTCAGTCTAACCCCTCACGAGGCAGCTGCGGGTGAACAAGTTCCCGCTGCCATCTTAGCATGTGGATGGGTGAGGGAAGCATGCCCGGTGGTTCCGGATGGTGCTGCAAAAACCCCTGGCCCAAATCAACAGGCTGCTTGGTGCTAACAGCTGTAAGCCCCTCTGCCCCTTTCTGCCCCTCCTTGGCATGGTACTTCACAGGAAACCAGATGAAGTTGGATCCAACCCTGGTACCCCTGTGAGCCCTGCAAGCACCGGGTCTGGAGTCAGGTCCTCGGAACAAGGTCACTGCGCTTCAGTTTTGCAACAGGTTGTGGGTAGCTCTGCGTTCAGTGGAATGACCGGCTCCCTGGCTCGGGGATGGGATTGTAAAGCTGAGCTTTGCGTTGTCCCCTGTCGAGAGGGGGGGGTTTGGCTCTTTGCAGCATGTGCTGGCTTGGCATGTGCCGAACTCTGCACAAATTTGTGCTGCTTCCTGAAGTGCAGCCACATGCGCACATCCCTGGCCATTTCTGGCGCCCGGCACTCGGCTGTCTCCCCGTCCGGGCGCCAGGCAGCCAGGTGTCACTCCCCAGGAGAGACGGATGCTATTCC